TAAAAGAACATCTAATTCATGAGGGCAGTTGGAATATAAAACAGATAGAGGTGAGGATTTCAGAATGTACATTTAAGAGTCATTTATCCAGAGAAACCCAGAACATTATGTTCAGAAAGGGCTGTAGAAATTACCTAACTCAGTTCTCTGATTTTATGAGAAAATCAATACCAAAAGAAGTTAAGCTCACTATAAAACTGGTAGTAAAGGTAGAACTAGAACACAGATCTTTTAAAATATTCTTTCTACTACATACTTGTAATATTCTCTAGTAGATGAGAATAAGGCTTTGGGAAACAACCACAGTTGGGAAAACAAAGAAAAGCAAACTGAGATGGATCAGAATGGTAAGGGGAACAATGAAATCCAAGGAAGGAAAGTTTCAAGAAGGGATCAGTCAACAATGTGACAAAAGGTCAAGTTGGATGGGGATTGAGAAAAGGCCACTGCATTTTGCAATGAGGTTATTAGTTACTTGGAAAGAAACTGTTCTTTTTAATAGTGCCTAATATTCCAGAATTCTCTAAAATGCTGCCCCTGGAGTCCTTGCAACAGGAACACCTCAGACACATAATCCGCATATAATGATTATTTTAGTAACTAAATTACCTTGAACAGGGTCCAAGAAGAACTAGCTTTATGTGAATTTCAGATCTATAGTGATTCACGTCAGAGCAGAGTTCTAGTTTGCTCACATTTCCATCTGATCATATTTTATCAAAGTTTTTAAAGCCCAGCCATACTTTTAAAATTTACAGACTTTTATTTCTTTTCTCTGAATTCATATGTATGTAATCCTAGGAACTTCAAACCTTTTAGCAGTTGGCTAATTACTGCATACACCTTTTCAAAGTAACATTACTAATTACATTGTATGGTATAATGAAACACACAAACATGACGATTTGAAAATGTAAATGCCTATTTTTTAAATTCAGTGAGTGATGACTTTTAGGCAATTTTTGACACATTTATTCCCAATTCTTCACCTCCCATTCTAAGAAAGTAGGTGGTATTAAGACTATCTACATAATGAAAACCACGTTATAATACAGAGAATTATACAGCAGGATTTGTCTAAAATGTAGAAATTTTCAGTAATAGCCATATGGCAAGTAGCAACATTGAAAGTGTATGGGGGATATGCCATTTACATCATCTGTCTATCAGATGATCTACAATCTTAAAAAATACAGCTTTTTTTATTAGTTGAAAGAAAACACAGTCTTGTCATTTTCAGACTGAGTTCTGAATTCTTTCTTAATTCAAAGTTACAAATTCAATCTGATAGGAAGAAAAGGAACATGAAAATGCACTTCATCTGGATTTAATAGGCATGGTATTACAGTGTTTGAATTTTCCACCTTACCAAAGCTATGTATATACTCAAGTATCATATCACTATATAGTATACAGATCTTTTACTGGCATATACATACAGATTAAAGTTTATATAAAAACAGATAAATATTAGAAGCTGATTTTTGCACTTGACCCTACTGTTATTAGCACTCTATTACTATAACAGGAATAGTTCAGCGATCCCCCTCCTCCTCTCTCCCCCTAGAGTACCCTCCCCTGCTTCCTTTTGTCCCAATCCACCTGATCTTTTCCTTCCTTCGTCTCTACATAAGTCTTAAGCCTACCAGTGACACTTGAACCTAATGAGGCTTCCGATCACTATTAATGAGAATAAAAATAGACCTTACATAACCTTGAGGACATAATGAATTTCAAAATGCATCTTATATGCAAGTTTAATAAGGCTATTAGTAGCAAATTCTTAGAAAGCTTTTCACTAATGCTCCCTACTCCCTTTTGTATATGTGAACCAGTTCAAGCTGGCTTGAGTTCTCTGTGTACCTGGTTTATATCACACCTGAATTCAAGTCAAGTAGAAGTAAATCAGAGATTCAGTTATAGATTATTAAAGTGGCAAAGTTTAGCCCCTTCTGCTTAGGAATGACAAACATTTAAGGGGTCTATAGTAAGGAGACTCCAACTGGATGTAATTAATTCTGAGGAAGGATCCCCGCCCCACCTAACCCAAATCTTGTCCTCCCTTCAAAACTCAGCTCAAATAGCACCTCCACCATGGAGCCCATTCTGCCCTCTCCCATTCAACCTGATCCCCATTGCCTCAGAACTTTTATAAGCTATTGCCACCACTCATTTTAGTCCTATATTCCATCTTATACTGTTACTTAATATGTCATGCTTGGGATTTATTTTAAGGTAGATTTAAGCTCCTTAAAACCGGAACCTATTTCTTACACATTTCTGTATCCTGCACAATATCTAGTACAAGCAAACAGTGACTAAATATGGTCAACTGTAGAAAGCATGAATTAGGCACTAAAAGAATAAAATGCATTTGTCTCTGGAAAGTGATTATCCTCTTCACCTAAACTGTTCTCGTTTCTTCCCCCTACTCGTATTATTTCTCATTTTTCATCCCTCCAACTTTTGCCAGTTTTTAGCTCCCTAGGTGACCTGTAAATACAAGGCACTGTCCAAACTGCAGGAGTTGAGGAATGTCAAAACATCATTTGTTTTGGCTTAAGACTGAAGGTCAAAAAAGGAGAGCTACAACAGCTTTTTCCTGAAGGAATGTATATTTAATGTATAGGAAAGGATCCAAACAGGAGGAGGAGCTTAAGAGTATCTTTCAATGCCTCAAGTGTTCTTCCAACAAAGAGGCCCAGATCATGTTACTGTAGATCTACATTTGACTTCAGGTCCCCCTGATTTAGACAAACAACTGTGTTTGGCTTCTTTCTTTTCTTTTTTCTAAACCAGTACACACTGATTTTACTGCAGCATCTATTTCCCTTTTATGGGATTACTTATTTTACCTACTGTAATATTTTATCTCTCTCTTTATTCTTTGAAATGGAGAATAGAAAGTGAGTGAAGGGGATAGCTCTAAAGAGATACCCTGCCCCCCCAAAAGGGGGGTTTAAGCTGGGGAGGGTATAGCTCAAGTGGAAGAGTGCATGCTTAGCATGCATGAGGTCCTAGGTTCAATCCCCAGTACCTCTTCTAAAAATAAAGAAATAAACAAACCTAATTACCTCCCCTCCCCACAAAAAAGGGGGGTGTAACAGGTTTTGGCCTCCACTTAAACTCTTTGTTTGGTATCAAGGATAGAATCTTCGTTCCAACACAATTACTCCCCTTGCCTCTAAAATCAGCTTACTAGGAAAAGCTGACAGTGCCACATCCACCCTCAACCATCTATTGTTCCCAGAAATTCAGGTAAGCAGCAAGCTGAAGCCAACAGCTGCTCTGAGGTTACAACAAACAGCTCAGGATGACTGAAGTAAAATACCACTCTTACACAAAATAGCAAAGTAAGTAAATATAAATAAACACATAAATAAATCATAGTAAACCAAAATTTACGGTGTCCAATATATATACTATTCACATTGTTCAAGTCTCAAGCATTTTCTATTACGTAGAAAGAAGAAAATACATTCTTATCAAGGGATAATCCTCGGGAATTCATTTTAGAGAAAAACCCAGTGTACCTGAATATTCCCATAAAACTTCTTGGCAGAGGCACAACAGAGGGGCCATAATGAAATTATTACACCAGGCCTATTATACCAGACACTCTAAATTGCATGCCATAATATTAGCCACAAATTTCTAGCAAATAACATTTCATTCTCACACCCTTCAAAAGCTCAGCTGGTAGAGTGGGGAACTGCAGTGGTAACATTTCATTTTTATTCATGGGTTATCTTTTATATGAAATCAAGCTCTGGGAGAAAGAAGGAAGAGTCAAAAATTCTACTCGTATTCCCATTCACCTGGGAAAAGAAAGAAAAGAAAGAGGCCTAGGAATAGAGATTACTCCCTCATTATAGGAAACTAAGTGAAAACTCAGAAAACAATTGACAGTCACATGCAGACTGGAAGAATTGAAAGGCTGTGACCCAACAGAGTCTTCAAAATGATCTGAGAAAGTGATGTAAGCAATGAGAAAGTTTAAATCGCTATAGGACTGCCTACCAGGCTAGCCAACTCTATCCACTGTATTTCTATATTCTTTCAACTATTCATTTATTCAACAAATATATATTGAGTATCCACTATATGTGAGGCATCTTGTTATGAACTGAAAATACAATGATGAACATGACAAGGTCATCAGACTCAAGAAAAAGGTACAGAAAAGAAAAAAAAGACTTAATGATCCTTATGGAAAAGAAGATAACATGTTAGTATAGTCTAAATCTTCCAGTGAAATCTAAATAATGTCTTGGAAATTAAAATACCACTTTCTTATTAACTCAAATAAAAACATTAAAGATGCTTAATCTTCAACAGGCACCTTTTCTTTACCAGAGAGTTCAAGGAGGTAGTTGCTCTCAGGGTTGTGCTAGTGCCGACCCTGCACTTGCACCAACCTGCGAGTGAGTACTTAACTCACCCCACCCTAGTTCTGGCCCTGCTCTCTACCTCCACACCCATCCTGTCCCAGTAAGCAGGGAGCTATTAAAATAATAATAATAAAAAAGCTTACAAGCATCATGCCAACAGCCCACTGGGATTTTGTATAAATTGTTAATAAGAAATCTGATACAAACTGGCTTGAAGACAGACCAAGGCTCTAAGACTCAATAGTACATGACCATCTATTAGCTGGGGTCTAACACTTCTGGGGATCTTTCTGATTTGAAGTCAATAACAACCTCCACCCCACACACCCTCAGCTCGCTGATTTATTTTTCTTTCCAATTGGGATTTTGTTTGATGAGGGAATGTACAGACTATGCAAGAGGATGTCTTAAATTTATTAAAAATTAAAATAACATGCATTGAAGAAATATTATAGTAACTCTTCCTTTAGATTTTTCCAAGCTACCTTCTTTTATACAAAAAGGACCCAAACATAATCCCTGTGTTTTTGGAGCTATGAATAAATGTGTCTACACAGAAATATCCACGTGTACTCAGCAATCAGCAAATAAAAGTTTATGTTTGCCTACCTCCTCCGGCAAAAAGAGCAGCAATAAATGGGCAGACATCCCAGGCTGATCATGCTGATCACAACAAACCCAAACATCCGGAACATCTGCGTAGGCTCTGGTGGTTTAATTATATCCTGTTACTTTTATGACTTAAGCTAGAGAAGCAAATCTGAGCTCTTTCATAAAGTCTTTATAAAAAAACTATCAGTTAATAAAGTAAAATAAGGAGGTATTTCTATACGACAGGTAAATCCTTGGTACCCTGTAAGGAGCAGGAATTAATGAAATGTTCTTGAAATACAACTAAAGGTTACTTACACTTGAAGTATGTTCCCCCCAATGGAAGCATTAACAAAATGATTTCACTGTTTTTGTTAACAGATTATTACAATTGATACTATATATGTTTCTTCCTATGGCCTCAGCATGTTTTTCCCTTGGCCATATGTTATATATCCCAGGATACTCAGGGAGTATCAAAATGCAATTAATCTATGAATAGTTAACTTGATAAAGGAATGGCTTCTTAAATGTCTGCTTCCAAATTATAAAACATTATACTAAATGAGAAATCAAGAATTTGCAGGTGAGTAAGCATGTTTTATTCTTATATTAATTCAGAAATGCATTCTAATATGATTGGGGAGTTCTAAGTCATGGTTCAATTTTTTTTCTCGACAAGAACCAAATGTCTCTTCACACATAATATAAAGACTAAACTGATGAATGAATTATAAACACCATGTGGCAGTGTTAAAACTGTAATACTATATTCATGATCAGGTTTCAGTTTCCATTATTAATACTAGATGTTCAACAAAGAGCTGTAAATTGAATAGGGACTATATTAACCTAAGACACTATTTTGCATGCATCCTTTTTGTAGCATTTGTTAGTGTTTAATCATATCAAATACGTCCATTAAGGGACCAACTGGTAATATGTCCCCACCATCCAAATGAAGGAGCAAAAACAGATGGTGTAGTGCTCAAAACATTGTAAAAAAAAATATTAAGAGAAGAACCTAACTCAAAAACAAAAGAACAAAGAGAGGAACTAATAAACAGACCTTAACAAGAAACATTCACATCTACTGTTACATACTGAGATGCTAAAGATAAGTGAGAAGAATTCTACTCAGGGAGAGAAGGTGGGAAGAAACAAGGAAGCAAGGGCATGCCTCACTGGTATCTTCTCCCAGGCACTGAGAGTTACATCTCATAAAGCCTGGAATCTATGGGCCAAGACAGTGACTAAAGCAAAAAGAAAGATGAGATTAACTTCAAACTGCCATAGTCACATCTACGGGCTAAGCAGAAAGGGCTTATGAATAGAGGCCCGACCACCTCAGGACTTTATACAGACAGCACTGCTCTAGGGCTGGGAGCTTCCTTTAAGTGTCAAGCTGAGAGATTCAAATTTAACTTATGCTATTGTGACCTGTTTATTTAATTTTTAAAATAGGAATATAATAAGTGTAAGAAGATGAACTTACTATCTTTTAGTGGGGCAAAACAGCTGAAGTTACTGGTCTTGACTGACGAATAACAGCATTTATTTCTCAAACATTCACTCTCATTAAAATCTTGCAGCTTATTGCAAGGCTTCACCACCTGATTCTCCTTTGGAATGCATGCTTTTAGAAACAAAATGCAAGAAAGAGAATTCAGCATGGTTAATAAGCACTTTCCCTAATTAAATAATTGCTGCAAGACAGAAAAAAGAAAGAAAAGCAAACACTTACACTGGTACATTAAAAGAAAAAATTGAATGACATATACAAACAGTAATGAATGCTGAAAAAATAAGAGTTAGAGTAAAAATTACCACAAAGTTATTTAACATCACATTTTCAATCCTAGATGAACTGCAGAAAAACAAAAATTGTTAACAAATCATTGGTAAGGTAGTTTTAAAATGGCTATAAACATAAGCTGAGTAATAGTGATACAAATATAACACAGAAGGGGCTAAATAACAAGAACAGGCCAAATGCCCTTAAAACTAAGACCTTGTTAAAGTAATGCCACAGATATCCTTTCTCTCAATTTTACTAAGCTACAGGAAACACATTGAATCCATCAGTGAAAATGAATACAAGGAAAATTCACACAGTTCACTGCTAGAGAGTAAAGTAAGTGATACTACTGGTATTAACCTACTATTTGTGAACACTTATCATACTCGCACTGCAATATGTTTTAAGATTCTTCCTTTTGGCCTTAAGTTATGACTCTATAATTTTGAATAGGCAATGATTTATGGCATGAATGCCAAGGTTCATGCAACTGCAATAAATTCATACATATTTGAATCTGTAAGATTCACAAGCTCAAACAGCTGATTTTTAAAACATTATGCTTTTTATGAGAAACAAATGGCAACAAAAAAGGCAGATAACAGATTTTTATTCAAAAAGAAAACCTCTACAGTATGGCTTAAGGACAGCATAGATTCAGTTCAATCTCCAATACTACCAACAACTACAGACTTAGAAAAGTAATTAAATGATGTTTTATGATCACTTTAAAGTACTTCAGCATCAGCAAAGAACAATATAATGGGTATAAGCGTATTTTTACCTCTTGGTATATTTTATTATATTCCTCTTCTTTAAAGATTGGCAATCCCTGAAGCTAAGGTAAAAATAATAACAGCTACCATTCATTAGTCACCTGTTTGGGCCAGGTACCCTGCATTACACACATTATTTCTAATTTTCACAACAAACTCTCAAAATTAGTTTATAACTTCCATTTTTAAAATGAAGAAATAAAGGATCAAAGTAACTTGTGCAAGGTCACAAATTTAATGCATTACCAGTTGGCCTGGATATTCATTTCCCAAACATTTTAGACATGTGAGAGCTTAGCCTACTTTGTTGTTACACTCTAAGCAATCTGTTCTTCAATTCTGCCAGGCCCAGAGCGACTCTCCTCTCCAGGTTGGACTGCATCTGGAATACCATGTTCAGTCCTGGACATCATACACTCAGAAAAGGGTGACAATTGTCAGGGCCTGGTCAGAGATCAGATGAACCTCTTCCTATGTGCTAAGTTCCTCACTACTGGTATTGTTCAAAGACCACTTTCCAGGAATGAAAAATCATACAAAACATTTTAAATCATATGAGAGACAGAACTACATGATCTCTAAGGTCCCTTCTAATGCTGGGCTTCTGTTATTTTACACTTAAATTGCATCTGATACACTTTATGCCAAATACTAAAATTAACTTTCAGATTCAAGTTACTAAGAGACACTTGTAATTTTGAAGAATAAAAAGGGTAGAACAATTTTTATCAGATTTAAGTATCTAATTTTGTCCAGAGGAAGAAGGATCACGTGACCTCTCAAGCTTCCCTGCCAATTTGTCTCAGGTTACCATTTTCATCTGCAAGAGATGAATCTGTTACTAATAAAAGCCTAATGACATGAGGACAGTCTTTTTTTTTTTAGTGCTTAAGTGGGAAGAGTATTCATTTTAAATTATACAGGGGAAGAAATAAATTGGTTAAAAGTACTTCACATTTTATGAACTTGTAGTTATTCTTTTCAAAGAACACAGTATATACATTTTATAAATATTTAATCACTGTTTTGAAAGATTTGAATCAACCTAGGTGAGATGTTTCTCTTAAAATGGAACAGTTTGATTTTGTTGGGTAAAAACATCATTTCATAAATTGATTTTTGACTCAACTTACTGCACCAGGTTGGAGGAGTATTTCAGAAATGCAGATATCTTATCTAGACTATCTTTAAAGGTGGCTTCAGTGTTTGTATAATGTAGTTGTTATAGGTAACTATGGGACAGTTTACATCTGCTATCTTCTTAAGCTCTAAAGCTTAAATCATTAGTTGTTGTTTATGACCAACTCCAGCACTCAGTAAACCATTCTTTTAGCTTCACAAAATACCACCTTATCAGATTTCTCTTTCTCCACTCAATTTGACCATGGAGGTATTTTTAAATAGATTATTTATAGAGGTTTTTTTTTTTGCTCTTCCCAATGGTAGTAGGTATTATAAATGTTTGTTTTGTACTTGACGAATCCTATATATAGAAACATGAAGAGATTCATACAAGGTCACAGAAGAATTCAGTGGTAGAGTCTGGAATTAAACAGTGAATATAATTTTGTGCTTATATATGTACATCAAATTTTGTAAGAATAAATTCTGCATGATTTTTAATAGAAGCTTTATCTTTGTAATTCACATATGTCAATTTCTTTGAACCTTCTCCTTGAAAGGACACCACATGCTGTACAAAATGAAATGTGTTTATTTGTGGTTAATAATCTCAGGGGCCATCATGTGCTTGATAAACACATTATATACAGAATCACAAAAAGACAAAGATGATGTGACTTGAAACCTGAGCTTTTTATCATTAAAGCAGATGGGAAAACATCTGGTATATTCCATAACATTAGAGCTACACAGTACTCTGGTTAATGCCACAGAAGGCATTTATTTCACAATACTGGGTCAGTGACTAAATTTCAAGTGATGTCATTAAGGTAAATTCTGAAAGGTTTAGAGATTTATGAAGTAAAAGTATTCTATAAAGAGTAACAAACATTTACAGAATGCCTTAAAACACTGGCTCAGTTCATTCTCACAATTCTTTCTGGTAAATATTTTCATTTTAAACATGAAGACATTGAAGTTCAGAGGTTATCTTGCCTAAAGCAAAAGGCAGAGTCAGTATTAAAACTCAGGTTTGTCTCACCCCAATACCAATAGATCACTCTACCTCCTAAACATCTAACTATTGTTTTCAAAACAAGGACATTGGGAGGAATAAAATCAAACAGGAACTTACTTGTTGGAAAGAAAAAACTAAACACAGCTTCCGAGACAGAAGTTTTTTCCAGAGATTGTCCATTAGCAGTTTCATTGCTCCACAGAATAGACTTGCTTGGAGACAATGAATTCAAGAACCCTTAAGAAAAGTGAAATTATTAATCCCAGCATATAAGGCATTTATCACTTTCTATGACCTTTTAAAAGTAATTACCTTTGCTTAAATTAAATACGGAAAGTCTAAAAGCTAACAGACATTATACTTAAAACTCATAACAACTTAGGTACAACTAATAATCAGAATGTGTTTCTGCTGTGAAACTGAAAAACTGGGTCGTAAGTTTAAAGAAATTAAAAATAAATTTTAAAATGCTTAAGCTATAGATTGACATATCTCATTGTTGTGCTGTAAACTAATTTACAATACTGAACTGGACTATGACGGCCTTGGCATTCAGAGGCTCAATCAATGAACAACTTGGAAACTGTGTATTCCAACTAAATCAGACCCCATCATAAGAACTCTTGGCAAATATGTTGGCTTCTTTATTTACTGATAAAAATCAAGGCCTTAGACACTGTAAACCTTCCTTATTCTTCCTCACTACTTCAAAACAACCTGCTTTTAATTTTATCTGTATGATTCCCTCATGTATAAGAGGAGAAGATATCCATGTTCATTCCCATAACATGGATTTATCCATATTATTAAACATTTTCCAACACTATCTTTGATAACTTCACAGCATCACATTATATGGCTCTATTATAAATGAGTTAACAACGCCCCCGTAGAAACACATTTAGGTTGTTTACAATTTATTGATATTATAAAGAACACTGACTAGAACTCATAGATACAGAAAACAGATTGGTGGTTATTAGAGGCAGGGGGTGGGGGTAGGGGAGGGAGAAATGGGTGAAAAGGTACAAACTTGCAGTTATCAAATAAATAAGTCCTGGAATATAATGTACTGCATATTTGAAAACTGCTAAGAGAGCAAATCTTAAAATGTTCCCATCACAAGAAAAAACATTTTGTAACTGTATATGGTGACAGATGTTAATTAGACTTACTGTGATTTCATTATATAAATATCAAATCATCATGTTGTACACCTGAAACTAATATGTTAGATATCAATGACACTTCAGTAAAAAAAGAAAAAGACAAAAATAAAGAATTCTGCAATGATTATCACTGAAGCTATATATTGTAGACATTTATGAAAAATTCCTTAGGATAAATTCTTAAGGAATAGTTCTTGATCTTAGCTACATCACCCTCCAGTAAGGCTGCCCCAAGGTGTACATCTAGCAGCAGTGCAGGCAATTGCCAATAGCCTTAGACCCTCACCTTTTTGTTGTTGTTTGCCAGTTTGATGGTCAAAATAATGGTATCTCTTTTGTTTTAATTCTCATCTTTAGTCATCAGTGAGCTTACCTCTGTCATATATTTGTTGTGTAGTAAAGAACTTAACCCTTAATTTGCTACATATGTTGCAAATATTTTTCAAGGCAGTATTTATATTTTTTATGATGTCTTGGGAAGTTCAAAAGTTTTAAATGTTTTACATAAGCAAATGTATCAATCTGTTCCTTTACTGTTTCTGCCTTTCAGGTCATGTGTAAAAAGATACTGTGGACACAGAATGTCACCTGCCATTTCAGTAAACAAAGGATGTTGTGGCCAACCAAGTCATTAGCCCCTGCAGCCGCCACAGAAAGTGCACCCCAAGGAGATTCAGGATGGAGAAAAGCAGGATACTGGCCCTAGAAAGTTAAGATGCATATCAGAGGGATAATTTCAATAAACCCAGACTCTTGCATCTTCCCATATATAGAGAAGCACTAAATTCATTAACTTGAGATGTCTGATTTTTCTTTAATTAACAGTAATCTTTTGATGTTTGACTACCTGGGGAGTTTTTAGCTCCTATATATCCTGGCTCCTCCCTTACCTCTTTGCAACAGTCCCTCAGATCTATGTGAGAGGCTATAAGTCCTCAGTAAGTCTGCCAAATAAAACATAATTCTCAAATTTTAGGTTATGTATTTTTTCAGTCGTCAGTATTCTACATTCTAGTATTTCCTGCTAACACTTTTATAGCTTCACTTTTTAAATTTAAATATTTAATCCACTTCAAATATATTTTGAGGTATCTTTTGAAGTAGGGTAACATTTTTTCCTGTTCTCTTAATACCATCTATTAAATCCATCCTTTTCTACTTATGGCAACACTATCATATTCTAAGTCCTTAGTCATAGACCTGTTTTCTTGACTTTCTATTCTGTTCCACTAATCTATCTGCTCATGCACCAATACCAGTCTTATAATTTATATCATTATATGTTTTAATAACTTATCTGGCAATCCTTTCATTAGTCCTCATTATCAAACTTTTATTCTCAACTCTGAAAAATGTTTTAGATGAAGCTCAGAATCACTTTGTCAAATTAAAAAATCCTAACAAAGTTTTATGGTAATTATGTTTACTTATTTAAATTCATTCAAAAAACATTTATTGTGTGCCTCACTGGCTAGGCATGAATTCACTTAAATGTAGACTCATTTGGAGGGAGCTGATAACATTACAAAACTATCTCACCCAAGAATAGGTCTGCTTCTCCACTCATTCAAGTCTCCTTTATTCTCCCTGAGTAAGGTTTACAGCTGCATTCATATAGGTCCTCTACCTTTCTTATTACACTTATTCCCATATATTCCCATATTCATATAAACTTTGTTGTTATGTGAATACAATTAATTTCACCACATTTTCTAGCTGCTTAAGGCTGGTATGTAAAGAAGCTATTGATTTTGGTTCATGTATTTTCTAACTTATTACTTTATTTGACTCTTGGTAGCTCTCAATGTTCTTCAGCTTCACTCCAGATCTATACAACCATGATATCACTAAGTATAGATGGTTCTGTCACCTTTCTTTCTATTATTTACAGTTCATCTCTTTTTCTTCTCTCATTGCATTGCCTAGAACTTCTGAAACTATGTTGATTAATAGCTATGATAATGGGCATTCTTGAAACAATTCTGACTTTAACAGGAATGCACTAGTGTTTTATCATTTATTAAATTAAGGATGTATTCCTCTAGTCCTAGTTTACTACAAATTTTCTGTTGTTATTTTGTTTTATTTTTAAGTGATAATGGAAATGGGATTTTATCAAATGCTTTTAATACTTACTGCCATGATCATACTTTCGTCTGCCTCTTAATTGTTAAATATTAATACATTTTCCAACATTAAAATATTCTTATATCCCTGAAATAAAGTCCACAAGTGCTAATGCTTTATGCAGAACTTGTGGATCAACATTCCTAAGTCAAGTGTGTCTGCAGTTTTCTTTTGTTTGCTATCTCTGTAGGTTTTGGCATGAGAGTTATAAAATAATCTGGGAAGCTTCTCATCTTTTTTCTATACTGAAACAGTTTAAACAGCATGGAAATATTTGCTCCATTAACGGTTTGGGAAAACTCATCCATAAATAGTCTGAGTCTGTACACTGTGGAGGGGTATAGTTCCCTAAAACTTTTTACTTCTTCATGCTCCTGAGTCAATTTTTATTTTAGTTTTTCTAGGAAATCATTTGCTTACAAAATAATTATCAGGATGGAATCATAAGAATATTCACTTATAATTTTTAAATCTCTTTTATGTCAATGATAATATTCCCTTCTTATTTTAATGAGACCAAATTCCATGCACATATACTTGAATGTGTATTCTCAGCCTGTAGGGTACTTTATTATAAGACTATGAACTTCATTATACATGTTAAATCAAGATAACTTGTATTATTCAAACGGTCAATATCTTTATTTTTTCTGCCAAGGACTAAAATACATGTATCACAGTCTCCCATTATGACCGTGGATTTGTCCATTTCTACCTGAATTTGTAAAACCATTTGTTTTATATATTTCAACACTATGCATAAATGTTCATTCATTACAGCTTCATGTTTGCTGTATATTACATATCTTGACAATATTAAAAGTAACCCATTTTGTCCTGTTTATTTTCTCCTAACTCCTACTCATTCAACAAATATGTATTTAATGTCTACTATATTCTAGGTTTTGGAGATACATCAGTGAATAAATTAGATAAGCTCCCTGCCCTCATAGAACTTACAATATAGTGGAGAAAATAGCCAAAAAGATGTAAACTAACAAATTAAATAATTACAAATTGTAATGGGTGCTATGAAGAAAGTTGCTGATACCATACCAACACAGTATAAGGTAAGGGTCCTACTTTATATAGGGGCTGACTTTTCCGAGATCATATTTCAGCTTAAAAAAAAAAGATTAGAAGTCAGCCATACAAGTGGCTTAAAAGAGTGCTTCCAGCACAAGGGACAAATGAGATTAATATTACCAGCCATACTTTGCCAGATAAGAGGACTCATTGCCCTACACTATATAGAAAAGGAGCTACAGTTGGAAGCAGCCTTTGACAGGACCTGTGTTCTGTACTGACATTTGTTCACTCAGTGCCCTCCTTCCACAACTGACTGTCCTCGTCAACACGCCATCTGAAGGAAGTGTTGGCTGGCAATAGCACACTGTGGCCTTAGTTTCAAAACGAGTTTATCTTCTGCAGGGGTTGCGCTCTCTGGAGTCCCTCTAGGATGGATATTAATCTCCAATTCAGAGTACCCGGGCCTCTGGACCCTCCAGACAGGCTTGGCTTTAGCTGAGGTGAAACACAGGTTGCTGCAACTTTTCTCAGTAGTGTCTGCCCTGGCCTTCTTTCTATCTTTCTGAAATCCCTCCAAATTTCTGGCATATCAGTGATGATAGCACCCTTCTGGGTTCTCTGGGTTTTCAACCATTATAGATCATTTGGTCATTTCAACGGGCACTTGAAAAGGAGAAGGCAATTAAACATTTTCTCAGATAAGCACCATTAGTGGCAGCCTAAACCAAAAGCCTCCAGCGTGTTTAACCTGCTCTCTGCCACTGGTTTCTTTCCTACTCTGAAAGACAGTTATTTATAAATTAACTTGAGCACTATTTCCTAAGTATGGTGTACCATCAGCATTATATGAGTTGATTTTAGCTGGAACACAGTTGAACATTTATAAATGTATTTAATCTTTGCTATTTACTG